TGAAATCACGGGAGGGCGAACTTCGGTAGTGTGTGAGTGGAGATCATTACTTAGGATTAAACGGATACTCACTCTAACATTACAAGTTTAATGAGACATGGCCGTTCCCCTGCAACGCCTTGACTTACCTTACATACAACATATTTCGTTTCTCACCAGCATAAAGCCATTAAAATATTATTTGACACGAATAAACATTTTACAAAACAATTATTAAACATCCATGGTCCATCCGTGATCATGATTACTGTAAACCAATTGAAACGAGTAAAATGAAGAATAGTAAAAATACGCTAAGTAAAATAAAAAAATAGTATTTTCTGAAATATTACTCGTTACTTAAATATCTTTTTGTGACGTATTATATATTCAGAACGCATGCAATTACAAAATATATATAACTATAACAAAAGATATATATCCATAAACGATAACAACAAATAACAGTCACATCTCGAAGCAATCACAATAAATGAGACATGATCTTCTAAGTCGTACAATTATAGATAGCTCTGTGTAGGGTCGCCCCTACTATTAGGTTTATCTTCCCTCTGTGTCCACTAATCCGCCGGGGAAGTGACTAAATATCTTGTACAAATAAACATTTTGATTGTTATATTATAGGGGAGACTAACTCGCAAATCGGATTATGCGTGCGGTGGTTCACTGTGTCTAATTAAAAGATAGATTTATGAGATCGTCCGCGCAAAGTGCATACCCTTTTTTTGATATTGTTTTTATAAACGATTCATTTATAAACGTTTAGCTGGAGAAAAAATGCAGTTGAGTCATACAGTTTTCGTTCTTTGAAATAAGTAGACTACGTCATCTTTAAAAACAAGTTCGATTATTCGCTTATAATTCATTCCTATTCAAATAAATTCTATCTCTAAGTATATTTGATATACAATTTTTTTAAATATTGTAATATATTCAATAATTTCGATCATATGTTTGTTTTAACGCGATGTCATCAATGCTAATGCTGAAGCTGTCATACTACCGAAAACAAATAGCAGTTAGTGAGGTCGTTCAGATCAATTTACATAGCAAACAATGCAGACTCGTAACTTAAAGTCCATTGTCAAGAGTCAGCTCCGCCCAGCCGAGCCAGCATCACAATGAGCTAATGTTACCTATTATACAAATATACCAGTTTGACAACCACTTTAATATTAATAAATAAATCGAGATGAGATTGATAAGACTGTAGATTCTATTAAGCTGTCATAATCTCTGTTAAAACTGTGCTTAAATACTAATATCTGATATATAAGTTAATGAAAGTTAAGGATTAACAAGATATGCCATGCAGGAGCTCATTGTATGACAGTGCACATAGGAAAGGCCGGCCGCTGATGCCTATTCATGAGGTGACGGCTGTGCACCCATGTCTCCCCACCGCATTTGAATAAATACAATTAACTTGTTTGTTTTGCTCGCCCCGTTACGCCCCATAGAATTATCCATCCGGTGACATATTTCGCCTTAGTTGCGAGAGGTCGTTCTGAAGGTTGCTGTTTTAGTGATTCTCTGTGATATTCGGCAGCGCGTGTTGTCGGCGCGCCTCAAAGCCGCTCGGACGCGGCGTACTGCACTGTTATTATCTCAACACCACCGGCTCTCACCTAACCCATTCCTTTTTTACCAGACGGCTCCGTCTCCGTCTTTCTCACCTCGGCCGAGCGGGACCCAGGGTCATTTATACAAAACTCGACTTGAGGGCGTTCCCTCGACGATTTATCATTTAGCGTTGCCTACAGACATTATTTGAAACGAATTAAAATCGCGCTTGTGGAAAATTTGTCGGCATCGAAATTAGTACTCCTCTCGGACTGCATAATTTATCGCTTACTCCTCATCCAGGATCAGTTGTGATGTTTCTAATTAACAATTCATCGTCACTGATAATCAAATAATTGTCTTTAATAAATCATTTTCAACATCTTAATATCGACACTACAAGTTTTAAACTCGAAAAATTTACATGCAATTTTTTTTTAATGAAATTAGCATGCATTCCTCTTTAGTATCGCAGAATATATTCATCTTAGATTTTACTGATACATTTCCATTCAAATTTTCGATAGTGGCTCTAAGTTATCACAATTTATACTTAAAAAAATAAGTATAAGCAACTGACAGCGCCATCTATGGTCAGTATCTCGTGGTTATACAAAATGTAATATTTATGTTGTGTTTTCTCAAAATTACATCTACGAAATTACAATTACTAAACAGAATTTAAAGTAATTATAAACTACTAATTCAGAAAAACTTAACCAAAATCCACTGAGTAATTTTTGTATGAAAGAGCACCAGATCGGTAGATCCTTACAAAATTTTGCATTTATAGATGGAAGAATGAACAAAGAATCAATCTAGAATGCCTAGTTGATAGCATAATGATAATTATTCCAGCTGAGAGTACTGAACGTTCTGAGTGCCCTAAGGAAGCAGTCACGCGCTCGAACATGTGATGTATATACGTCGGCAGCACCGGCGCCTTGTAATTTGAGAATCGACGGTAATTATTTACGTGAGAATGAGCCGCCCCCGGTCGGCGAGACGAATTGTTGATTACTTGACGTGATACCCCTAGATTGCCAGTTGCCATTCGTACTGCTGGACATCATGAAACCGCTATCACCCCCACTTATAACTACGGCTTGGACTTGCTATTTATGGTACTATATCATTAGGCATAGGTATGGCACTCAGAAGTCAGATATACCATTTCTATAGCCATATTTCAAGAGCCGTATACGGATTATGTCTATTTTTTCTGTAATCACAAAGTGTTGATTTCTAATTAACTTAAAAAATTATTGATACTATTGGTAGGTATGTACTGTTTTCAAAAAAATTATATGAAAACTAAAATGCTTTTTACCAAATAGTAACATTAGGAATCACAATATTCTTTGTGTTTGCAATGTTATAAATAAATTCAAATCTTTGTAAAACTATTTAATACAAATGACCTGGCATTCCATACCAAGTTTATTTGTAAACAGTATCTAGTGATGCAAAAAATCATAAAATAAACCACTAATTTTTATTAAACTTATAATTTATTTAATATCAAAACTCGAATAATATTTAAAAAGCAAAAATTCATGCAAATCATATCTTATTAGCACGGTAATTTAGCAGGATATGTGAATTAAGTGGAACGTAGCAACGGGGTTTCGAGATTGTTCTTTTTATTTTTTTCTTAACTGAGATGTGCCGGAGTGATGACGGTTGTTGTGACTTGTAGTGACGTTTGCGTGTAATACAGTGCTCCTCAGAACTCAGACCTAACAGAACATGAACCAAATAAATATAATAAAACCTTTTCTCACTCCCGTAATTCACGACACAATAAATAAATATCTAAAATGTTTTTTGTAGTGACAAAGTTTTCAAAACATTTTGAATGAATAAATAAAGGTAGATATTTTTTATATACTTATTAGAATTAATATTTATATGAAATTACTTACTGGATTAATCTTTTGATGGGATAAATTTATTCTATTTTATGTTAAGGTATTTTTAAAGAAAAATACTTTTATTTGAAATATAAACTTTTCTAAAATATATTTATTAATACAGCTTAAATGTTAATATAACTTGAACAAAGACACACAGTTCAGAGTACCTAGTGCCATCTTGTAGCTCGAAACGGAACTAACAACCAATGTGATAAACGCTCCATTGTTACAAACTATTCAAAACTAAGTTACGTTTTTCAAAACTGTATGTATTATTAATATTATTGATTCTAGTCATAAATTATGCTCTTAATTTCAATAATTCTATACAGCAACTGGATGTTTGTTTTAACAACAAAATGTTAAATTGGCTGCTTTCAATACGTGGCTAAGACATGCGGTATCTGACACCTGCCGTTTGTGCACAGAAACATGAGATACCAAAAAGGTTCTTATGTTAGATGTCTCAAGAGTTATTATTAGAAGTAACATTTGAGTGATGCGTTCTAGTATTAGGTTGTATGATGTACTACAGGTCGCTTAGCAGCGCGGCGCCCTGCTGCGCGAAGCCCCTAAAAACACACAGACCGCGGGGCGCCGCACTCAGCCCATGCCTTTTACTAATAACAGCGTCTTTCCCTCTGTCATGCCTTATTTCATTCGAACGTCTCTCGTTTTTTCAACGTCTTCGTTTTTTTATCCTAACCTCAAACAATAACAATAAAACGATTCTCTGATGATAGTAATCCCTCATCCTCATTGTCTTTTGGCAGTTTCTCGGAATAAAATATGTTGTGCTCTCGCGACTTGATATCTGAACGTCATATTATAAATGGCATCATTTAAAATATTTTAATACCCTCTACATCACGGCGATATTAATTTGGTACGCTTGAGTGGTACGGAGCGGTTGCCACCGCGGGAATGTTAAGTGACAGATTACCGGCCTTCGCCAAGAGATCACGAGATAACCAACTCTTGATCTCGCTGATTCTATAGCTGCCCTTCATTACTCGCTTACCTTTGTCCTGTTTATCTTTTTTGTCTACATGTTTTCTTGGAGTTTTACATCGTCACAGATGCACCATGATTGAGATAAATTATGAACATTTAGGCACCAACACTGGCTAAATTAACCTCCTGCAATACGGTTATATGTTTTGCATACAAAAAATTTCTATATATAGGTCTATTATATAAGAAGGTCAAAGTTTATTTTAGTCATCATTATCTCACCAAAAAAAAAACAATTATTATATCGCACATGGTGAATGGTCAGAAATAGGTGCAAAAAAATTTTGGGATGATTGCACCAATTAAATAAAAATTTTAAATAATATTATCTGTTATTTTAATTAGATTAATTAATAAATTAGTTCTTTTTGAATGAATTTTGTAACTTATATACTTTATTTATCAACGTGAAGTTGCTTACAATGAAGATGATTTCCATGGCAACCGTTGTATTGTTATTCTATTGATAGTAGCTGAACTTTGTGCGTTTATTATAAAATAAATAAAATGGTTTTAATAACGGTGGAATTGGTGAGAAAAAAGGCTGAACATCACGATCGACTGCTGGCTCCTCTGGAAGAAATAGCTTTACATCAGGAAAATATAGAGAGAATCGAACACATACAGGACTGGTGTCCAAAACTCAAGATACTTTTAATGCAAAGCAATTTAATAAGTAAAATAGAAAATTTAAACAAGCTAAAACATCTCACTTATCTAAATTTAGCTCTTAATAATATTGAAATTATCGAAAATTTGGAAAGATGTGAGTCTCTACAGAAATTAGATCTAACACTCAACTTTATTGGGCATATTATTTCTATTGAATCTCTTGTTGGTAATTATAACTTAGAAAACCTATATTTAACTGGGAACCCGTGCACGGATTATGATAATTATCGTGAGTTTGTTGTCGGGACTCTTCCACAACTCATGATACTCGACGGCAAAGAGATTGAAAGGTCAGATCGCATCAAAGCATTACAAAGCCTAAAAATCATTAGATCTGACATACTGTTTGAACAAAACAACTATCTACATCAAAGGAAAACTCAAAAAGTACGTCTCGAGAAAAACATAGCAGAAAAATGGGAAAATGAATACAAAAATATGGATCCCGATGAACGGAATAAAAAGTTTTGGGCTGAAAAATGCGAGCACGCGCCTGAAGTTAGATACGAAATGGAACGGATGCGCCAACTAAAATTACAAAGCCTTGCGCCTGAAGAAAAAAAAGAGGAAAAACGTGAATATAAATATTTCACAGCGGATGGCAGGCCATTTAATATAAACCAAGCAAAGATAGATTTTAAGTTTAGCGATACAGAACCAGATAAGTACGTATTAGACTTGGCGATTTACAAACATTTAGACACAAGTTTATTGAACATAGATGTACAACCAAATTATGTGAGAGTTACAATTAAAGGAAAAATATTCCAACTCCACCTCCCAGAAGAAGTTAATACATCCGAATCTAAAGCTCAGAGGTCGCAGATCACTGGACATCTTATTGTGACTATGCCTAAAGCTAATATTATCATTAAAGAGCATAAATCTCCAAAACTAATGAATCATGAGAAAAAATCTGAAGTAACTGATAAATTACCCGAATTTAAAGAGTCAGGGCAGTCTAAAAGAGAGTATTTAGAAATCGGACCCTCTGATGATGCTCTAGACTTCAGAAACATGATTACAAAGAAACCTGATTTTATTGATCCCAGAATGTCTTTAAAAGGAAAGCAGCCATCAGAAGATTTTGTAGATGATCCGCAGGTTCCAGATCTCATTTAAAACAATATCATATGTACACAAATCATGTATTTGAATTTTACTGAAATAGTGATGACTAACATGTACAGGTGAACAAGAAAACGTAATATGTACTAATACATACATATATTCTATTTGATTACTTCATATTTTAGTATGAGAATAAAGGTATACACAAACAGGCGTATATTTTTTTATTTATATACATTTTTTAAAGCACAACTGTCAAAACAATCAAACATACACAAGTTATAAATAAAACTCAGAAAACATTCACTCTACATTTCATACAATTTGAGAATCAACCTATAATTCTTTATTTACAGTAAATTAATTCAGCACAAAATAAAAATATATTAATACTTACATTAATAATAGTATTTTTGTTATAAATTTTAAATAAGTTGACGTATTGACTAAAGGGTTAAACAAATATGACCAAAGATATTTCTCAATAACAAAACCTACATACATAACTCGTAAATACATCGAAATTCTAAATAATATAGTTTAGGACTTATAAAGCCTTATTATGTGTTTGCCTAATGTGACTTAACACTTACAGTTTCAAGGTTAAATAGTATAACAATAATTTAGTATAACAATGCAATGTTATACTAATTATACCGAAGTATATTACAAGGATAGTTGAAAGAATAGATTTAATATCTAGGACACTCCATTAGACGCTGGTGGTGCTACCATTATTGACAGAAAACCGTCGACGTCATGCATTTCCTTGGAGGAGAACTTCGCTGAAATCTGATGACGACCAGCCCAAGGAGGGGTCAACTGAAATTGGGCTGTCGCGAACTCACCAGGAGCCACATTCTGAAACCATACACATATAGATTAAATAATAATAATGAAGTTGTTTTAATACTTTTTTTTTTGCTAAAATGAATTCCACAAAATATTTCTTAGATATTTTACAAGCTTAACCACTAAATATCCATGATAAATACCTCGCTGAGTTCGATCTTAAGTTGTTTATCCAATCCGGGACCTTGAATGTAGAATTTCCCGCTCTTTAATGGTATCGGAAGAGGATTTTCCAATTTCACGTTCACGGTAAACTCCTGTCGTGAAACAGGTTTGCCGTCGATAGAGATCTTAATGTCAGGATTGCGAACTCTGAAGTCGTCTTGTGCGAAATAGTCAAAGTTCCTATCGACTATCGACGCCAAACAAGCTATGTTGAAGGACGCCTGTCACAAAAATATAGCAATTTCAATTATAGAAGTATTTGATTTCACAAATATGAATGGCTTTTAAAATAAACAGATAATACAAAACGTTATAATGTTATTAAATTCAATGCTGTTCTTTATATTATAACAATGCACGAACCTCTGTGTTTTAATCAAATATGAATTATTTAGATACAAATAAATTTATCAGTTAGAACAAAGAAGTTCTATATCGTCCACAAACGTTATAAAAGAGATTTGCCACCAAAACTCACCTGATCAACCAATTTCTTATAATAATCATTGAACGTGACTGGCAGTGTGATTGTTTCTTTCTTTTCTGGAGCCATCTTCATGTCAAACTCATGCCTCTTCACCCCGTCGCCAGTAACGCCAGTGTAGGTCACAGTGTCAACTCGGAGTACACCCTTCACCTGATGCTCGTTGATTGTGGATCGGTTCTTTATATGTAGCACCTAGATTGGAAAATATGAGTATATTTGAATTAATAAACATCTTTTTTGAAATATACCTAATCAAGCAATAGGTACATTACTTTATATAACAATAAAAAAAAAGATTATTATATAAGCAAATGAAACTAATATTAGTAGCCGAAACTTCGGGAGTATGTAGTTTATAATCAAAAATAAAAAATGCTTAATAAATCCGAAAAAACTTCATAGTTTCATTTAAATGAGTAGTCTCGAAAATCTTAGATTTTATAAGCAGTTCATTCACATATATACATAGTTTTGATATCACGTAACTGATCATATTATAATCGCAGAGTCGTCTAACGTTTTTTCCTTATTAATGTTTTTTTAAAGATATATATTTTTGTTATTTCTACTTACAACGTTGAAGTCCTGTCCTATCTTAATATCGTCTCTCAATTCAAAGTCGAAGGTGACATCATTAAATGCGTCATTTAGATAATATCTTGCGAAAATGCTCTCAGATTTACGGAGAGCCTTCTCCATTGTGTCGCGCTCTTCTTTTGTTCGTTCCGGATATTTGTAGAGATTTGTTATATCCTGAAATAATGATAAATTGAATTACTATTTTATTCATTGTTTTTCTATGTACCTAGTATTTGCTTTTACAAAATATTGATTACTAAAAAGGATCTATATTCTTGCTAGATGCTGTTATTTTAATAATTTCATTACATACAGTGTAAACTCCATATAACGACACTCGATTTAACGACAAACTCTCTAAAGCGTCGAAATCATTCGACTTTGGTTGGTTTAGCTTGTCTACCATACAATGATACACTCTATATAGCGTCACAGCCACTCTCAATAGCGACAAAATTAAGTAATAAAAAGTACCCTTAAGGTGCTAAAATTAGTAAAAAATGCGCAGCTGTGTACGTTTTTTTGTCGCTTTGTTATCCTAGCCCGCAATAAACTCCACTGTCGTAATCATGCATACCGAACTTTCTAAGAAATTCGTTCTTCACCAATATGCCTCAATATCGCAAGATATGAATAAAATACGTAAAAAATACAACAACATTACTGGTGCAGCAAAACACGTCAAACAAAAACAACAGACTTTATAACATTCTTTTTTATGTACATAAGTACTAACACTAGTCTGAAACAAACTTTGTCTTTTTCTAATTCTGATTTTTCTTCCCTCTATTTAACGGCAACTCTCTATAACGCACAAAAATGCACGGTCCCTTCAGTGTCGTTATATAGAGTTTACACTGTATTTATGATACAATAGAAATTAACAAGTCATGAATAGCATTACTAAACCGAAAGTGTCTTATAAATTTAAATAACTTATTCTGTGAAATAACTACATATTTAAAACAACAAAATTATATTTTCATGTTTGTTTAATTACAAAAGGACTAGCATTTATAAGTTCACATATTTGTAACGCCTGAGAGTTTTCCCGAGCAATATTCACCCAAGGCTATAACTATAAAAGAGATAGGCTCTGGAAACATTATACAAAACTCTGAAAGTTATCTTAAGTACCTCTCTTTCCATTCGCCCAATTGCCTTTGTAGATATATTCTGTCCTATTGATATCGTATCACGTGCTAGAAGTTTTAATGGTTGTATTTCACCAGAGTATTTCCAAAGAACCTGAAATATAAATAAAAAATTTGTTTACTTAATCTTATCAAGGTGTAAATGTTTTAAATCAAACTTATATTGATTAGGCGGAGAGAGGAGCTTGGACAGTGGAGGTGAGCGTATAACGCGCGTTAGATAGTGGTCCCTTAAACCTACTGTCCCTGCTATAAAATGGATCTGACACCCGCACGGAAAATCCGTGGAATGCTGAGAAGTTTTGTCTCGTATAATTAATTACCTTATCTGCATTAACTTGTGCGAAGACGTAAGACACGTCATATGGTTTCTGGAGTTCTCCATCGCGGACAGCCCTCAAGGAAGCAGGACCACAACGATACACGTCTTCAGAAGTTTCTTGTGGCGTCGCATCAATGGCCTGCCAGCCTCCATAATCAGGTCCCAAATCCGGTCGATCCATCCATACCTAGAACATCACAATATAATCTGTTTACAACATAGGAAAGAACTCTTAACACACAAATTTTATCGCCCCTTAAATATATCAACAGATGGGATCATAATCGATGAAGCTATAAAATCGTTATTACAGTTTTATATGCTCATTCAAACCCAAAGCTATATTGTTCTAAGTTTAACTTGCCTCATTCCAAACATGATAGTTCCAGACCGAATCGTTAGTAAATTCTTCGAGGGTGTCGCCGTTTTCATCTTTGATGATATCAATAGTTAAACTGCCCTGACTGTCGTGGGCTGCATCGTAGCCTGATACCGGTCGACATGGGATACCAAGCGCTCTACATACTAGAAATAAGAGAACCAATTATCATAAATAAACATTAAAATTATTTGGTGTTAAACAAGGAAAAGAACATAATTGAACTGAAACACACAATTGAACTGTTTTGTAATATGATTTGAGTGACATTTATGTTACAAAAACTCCAATAGTTCCTAAGATATATGGGAATGCTAAACTCAAACTTACGTGTCGTCAAAACCCCAGCGTATACCCAACACTGAGCGTATTTAACTGGCTTTTTCTTCTCATAGTATTTCTGTATTATCGCCAAAGATCCGACCCATTTCAATGGATGGGTTCCACCACTATAGTCACTCAACTCTTTGGCCCAGTTACCAACCAATACTCCATTGTCGTCTTGAACATTGACTGCGGCGGCTAACGCACGGACAATCCTAATTGGATCTCCTCTCGCCCCTCCTTTGACCTAAATAGCAATACATTAAGATATTATTTACCTATCTTGAAGCAAAAGATTAAAATATACAACGAAGCATTCAAAGGTATTAATGACAAGTTTTTTCCGACTACCGACCTAGCGGGCTTGAAATTGTTTTAAAATAATTAATATATTAGCCTAGAAAGTTTTTTAAAATAATATATATATTAACCAACCAGCAGCAATATCTTATAGTCATTTTCGTTTGAATTCATACACAATAAAACTGTTATGCCGTGACCCCGCGGGAGTTATAGGGAGTTCTTAGATAAATTATGGCCTTTGTTGTTCAGATGTCTACGTGAACATACATCTGCATGAATTTTTGCATTAATAATCATAGTATGATAACATTAATGTGCCAAAAAATATAAATTTTAATACTCTATATCTATTCACGAAAAATGTAAAACCTTTAATAAGAGTGTAAAGAAAAAACAATTGTACATACTATTTAAAAAATATTATAAACACAAAATCAATTAAAATAAATATAATTTAGTTCCGTGTAATTAATAGTTTTAATTATGTAAAAAAGATGATATATATATGAAATTATGTTGTTAACATCTTATAAAAGAACAAATGTACAACCATTATATTGTACCTGCAATTATCGTTGCTAACTATTATAATCATCGCCACATATAGAGATACATAGTAGGTACATATATGTAAGTAAAAGAACTAATTTTGTTTATAAAATTGAACTGGTAATTTAGTTAAATAAATAGTTACTAATAATCTACTATTTCAAAATAATACTTTATAATATAGCAAAGTTTTGCTTTTTTCTTGTATTGATCCTGAATATGTTTCATAAAAGATCAATAAAGATTTATATTTATTTTTTTAATAATTAAGTAAATAGATCTTTCCATCGGAGCAACAAAATACCTAATAACAATTAAATATAAAGTTTACATTGCTATTAAGCTTTTGTGCAAAATTTATATCAAAAGATAATTTCGTACGAAAACATAAACGACGATAACAAAAGGCCTCAATGTGCCATCAAAATAATTAATTATTATTAAGAGATAAATACTGACCTTTCCAACTTCTCTTATAAGATACAAAGCGCACTCTAAAATATCTTTCTCGTACTGGGCATAATTCCACGGAGCCGGTTTGATTCTGTTATAAACACCTCTAAATACAAGACCACCGTCCTCTTGAACATATTCCTCACGATGACTGTGTCCTAAAACCATTACAATTTTGTTTAAACAACAAATTTACCATATTCTACAAAATATTACATAATAAAGAAACACGCAAACTGAATTTCAAATAAGCTTATCTATTTACCCGGCATATACACGCTGTCGTTTAGACACCAAGGATTAAAAAGGACATAGATTGGTTGTGGATGAGTGTAGCTTAGCGCTCCGGCACCGCTGAGTTTAGTATCGACATCTAATCTCCAGGCAGCCACAATACAGTCAGCCGCTGGTGTGACAGCTACCATCAGATGTGAATCAATTTGTCCTTCATACACAGCGTTCCATGAACCTAAAGTTTCAGACCCCTTTTCCAACATAGGAACAGCCGCTGACGCTTCATTCGACGGCCCACGCTTCTGCACATCTGTTTCACAATATCCATTCAGTTATATCTTATTGTGCTTAAAATAAAATCTTACTCACAACTAAATTGATATCGTATGTATTCGTTTTACCTTCGACGTAAAAGATGAAAGAAACGGCATCTCTTTTGGCGTCGTATGGCCTGTTTAATAATATATCCAATTTGAAGGCCTGACCTCGTCTGACCACGAGACATCTATCAACGTCTCTTGTCATGAGATCGAATTTATTCGTGTGATGATTTTCCCCATTGCTGTCAATGCAAAAGTCGATGCCTTGGACCGCGAGGACGCCTTGTCTGGTTCCGTCTATGACATCTGAATAAATATTTACGATATTAATAACTCATATATCATTTTTATCTTTACATAAACTAAAATGTTTGAAGGTAGGTAATATTTAATTCTCTCCTAACTAATAATAATTATATTATCTCTTCTAATATTTTAAGGGTCGTGGTAAAGTTGGCGCACATAAATCACATTACAGAATTCCTATTTGAAGTTATCATAAACATTCGTCATCGCTAAAATTTTCGAGCTAGCCGTTTGGGTTTCCGCCAATAATTTGCAACGAAAACTTATATCAAGATGTAAAAACAATTGTACTTTTCTATTAATTCACAGATTTATAACAGTTACCTCACATTACGTATTACCTGGTTGGAAAGGTATAATAATATATTTTTGCTTCCTCCCAAAATAGTATCTCCACAAATTTTTGATGTACTCCATATCTAATATTTAATACACTACACTATCGGGACATGCTAAACATAGAAATGAATCGATTACTTCATCAATCGGCGCTGACCGGCGATGTTTTAGAGCAATACAATCTCACAAAGTGCTAACAATCTGTACAAACGTCTAATATCTTCTGAATGCCGTCATTGACTGTTGGTTCTCGTTCTAGACTCCATCTATAATACTCCTACAGCGAACTGGAGGTGATGTCACGAAGCAAACATGGACTTAACTCGCTAAGAAGTATTTGCTTACATTCATTAAAGGTTCCAGGACAGTTACTCATCAATCAATGCATCCTAAACTCAAGGATCTTGACTCACTATTCAATGAAATGTCACTTATGATATTTCCATTATAATTTACAGTTTTATTTTTAAATATTCGTATTAAATATGCGTATCGGTTTACGTCAATACAACAGTTTTACACTTTGTCGTGAGATCATTCTCTATTTGTCAAATGGCAGTAATTTTATGAATGATGTAATTAGGTACTGGTTGTCATTAATAACATCGCTAACACTGGGTCGTATATATGTATGAGGTCAATTAATGAGTCTCAATATCTCAATTTGGTTGGCAATTTAGTCCATTATGGTGTTAAGAACGCCTCAAAATTAACTTTTACCTTATACTATTAGTCTTAAATGTGGGTGATAGATCTATACAAAGCAACGAAGGCCAGGTTTAATATGCAACGAGAAGCGTAGGTTTTGTTAGAGGAAATATAACATCATCTTTGACTTAAGATCTATTTGTGAAACTAAGATACGTGTTATGCTTTAAGAATTCTCTTCAATGGATTCCTCTTAATCGAAAGTGGATAATTCATAATACTACTCCATTTTTTATTAATAACTAAATTAAGAACATATCTGTATATGGATATAATTTCCAAATATTAACAATATGTAGAATTATGGAGAATAGCATGTGTCTTAAATAACGGAATGAAATAAAAGTACCTACCTAAATACAAAACTAAATGCAATAAGAAATAAGTTTGATTTGTAATATAATTGGATTTATATTAAAAAATGTGATATTTTCATTTAATATAACGTTATTAAAGTTTTAATTAACAACAACTTAAGAAGTGTTTTTGAGTACCGAGTTTCCATGAACATGCGAAAACTCTATTAATAATACAGTGTAAACTCCATATAACGACACTCGATTTAACGACAAACTCTCTAAAGCGTCGAAATCATTTGACTTTGGTTGGTTTAGCTTGTCTACCATACAATCATACACTCTATATAGCGTCACAACCACTCTCAATAACGACAAAATTAAGTAATAAAAAGTACCCTTTAAGTTGCTAAAATTAGTAAAAAATGCGCAGCTGTGTTACGTTTTTTTGTCGCTTTGTTATCCTAGCCCGCTATAAACTCCACTGTCGTAATCATGCATACCAAACTTTCTAAGAAATTCGTTCTTCACCAATATGCCTCAATATCGTAAGATATGAATAAAATACGTAAAAAATACAATAACATTACTGGTGCAGCAAAACACGTCAAACAAAAACAACAGACTTTATAACATTCTTTTTTATGTACATAAGTACTAACAGTAGTCGGAAACAAACTTTGTCTTTTTCTAATTCTGATTTTTCTTCCCTCTATTTAACGGCAACTCTCTATAACGCACTAAAATGCACGGTCCCTTCAGTGTCGTTATATAGAGTTTACACTGTATATCAAACAATGTAGACAAAATCGCGGGTACCAGCTAGTCGTATACATAAGTTGAAGGTTATCTTTTATCTTTTTCTTAAAAGATCGCATTGATAAATACAAGATGCTTTAAATGGAAACGAAGATGTTTTAAGTTCCGCCGGCCTCTTAAAAGAGTTCTTGTATAATATGCAAAATAAATATATAAACTAAAAAGTCTGTTAAGTTACATGAATTATTGTATTTATTTTTTCATAAATCCTCTTAAAACCTAGACAGATGATATCATTAAACGACTACTTTATAATAAATAGTTTTAGAGCCATATCTGTAATCTTTGAGCTATGGTAATTTTCTTCTATCTTAAATCAATACATACAATTTATCATTAACTTATATAAAAGACAAATTTGAATCTTATTATTGAAAAGACAAAGTACAGTTTACGATGTATGATTTGTTATATGGACGCCTACCTGTAGCGATTCCATTCATCTCAATACACACGTTCACCTTGAACGAGTTGCCCTTAGCACGGCTTAATTATACCTTATTCTTAGCTACTGGCCCAGAGTGTCCTGTATGATAATTCGTTACCCAGATTACAGTAAAACAGCTAATAAGTATTACTAATAATTACTTAAGAAGCTATGACGTCACATTTCTATACTCTTAAACATGTTTATCATACGTGAATGTAAAAATAAAAATTGATTTTGATTCCCATTTCATTTCGTACAACTCTTTATAAAAAGCTACTCATATTGATCTTGAAGGATTCTTACGCAATATTCTAAACCTCGGTCCAATGCTAATAATTAAAACAAACTTACGAAATAAACTACTAAAACGACATAGTAGTGACTTTTATTAGACACGCATCAAAGACAATGGCTAACTAATTTATTGTGTCTTTTTTATTAACCTGTTATCTATGTATAACTGTAATATATATCAAACTACATTCTATTCTATTGTTTGCAATATTCTTCACTCGAGCATATATAAATATTAATAAAAATAAAATTACAAACACTAAGAATCTAAGTATCAATCATAACGCCGGTAATTATATAAGTATTCCGAGAAATAAATGTGTAGGACATATAATGATATAACAGCCTTTTAAATCGTTGCAATAAAAACATAGTTACAAATAATAAACTAAGATCTAGTTGACTGTACATGTATGTACATACATATATGCAGGTATGTTTATGTATTATTTACTTAGTTTTATTTCTATAACAAGTAACCTTATAATTACGGGTTAATTATTTTATATTAATGAATTAAAACAAAAAAAATGCTTGTTTTATATGTCATTAATTTCTGATTAATTTTTACGCATTCATTTATCTTGTCAAATTAATTATTTTAAAATAAAAAAAACTATAGTCTCCGAACATTCCTTGTTAGTTTTACGAATTAACAGCTATTATTTTAAATTTATGTTTTTATACAACTAAATGAGAAACAAATAATAAAACATATATTCAGATTATTCCTGTTAAATTGTTGCATGTTTAATATCATCTATTAGCATCTTATAATTATACCATCATCATTATACGATCTTATTGTTTTCTTAAACAAGGCTAATACTTGATTAAGACAAATATTCTTTATGTCAGTACACGCAAAATTAAATTGCTTACTATTTGAATCATCCAAGCGTGGAGGTCTCGGCAGGTCTTTTAAATCGTAAGAATCTGAACGGTGATGACCGCAACAAGCACATCTTGATGGACAGCAACCAGCCAACTTACTCTTCACAACACCCATATTCACTTATCAAAGAACCATAGATCACAAAAAAAAATTCGAACTAAAATCACTTTAACCCAATATTAGATCACCTCTTAAACCACTGAAACACTCCGCTCGTTTAAACAGTCTGCCACAATGTAAACAATGCCTAAATTAGAGGTACGTAGACGTGGCCCACTTAAAAACGTTATTAATAACCAATTAAAAGAATACTTTATTATATAGATGCGTGCGTTCGTAACGATGGAACCGAAACATATGAGTGTCTCTCCTTGATACCTAAACTACACTCTGTAGTTTATACGTGACCTCTTATCAGAAAATTGGAATACCCGAGCGTACACAAAATACTATAGAAGTATAGAATATTGATTCACTGTAAATTTGTATTATGGTTATACTCTTAGTCATATCTTCGCAAAACCTTAATAAGTCACTGACCATATGTGATGACATATTATAATCATTATAAAAAAAATATTCTACAGGATCATTACCAAAATATTTTTGTTATCTATATGCGTTTTATTTTTTCTTTATTTATAATGAATTTAAACTTAATGCAAATCACTATATTAAGATGCGCACGCGCAGCATATGATAAAACAAGATAACACGGAAAAATGTCCAATATTATGATATAACATACTATATTTATTATGTTAATTTACTACGTGTGACATCACCTTAGTAAAATGTTTCTCGTCATCTCCTATAGAAGTAATTTGTCATCGAAGGTCATTTAACATGTATTTTACTATAAATGGGTTTCAACAAACATGAATGAATTAAATTCGTAGTAATGAGGTCAGTAAATTCTTAATTCCCATTTACGTAATTTTTTCCTTAAAGACTTAATAGTTTACTTTACAGTTTATACACAAAATCAATGAAGCTGTACAATTGTATCTTTATTTAGATATCAAGTAAAATGAAGACTTATGTCATTATATTTAGAGTTCATAGTTTAATAAAATCTTAAAATTATTTGCCTAAAAAAATTGCTCGTACTCTCATTAGGGAATATTTCGTTTAACGACAGTTTGGAGCACGTTTCCAGTTATTTCTGACTTCAAATACAAAACATAGCAACGGACGAAATTCAATATTCATGCTGTAAGTTCGTATTGTAAGTACGTTGCTAAATATTTTTATTTTGCATTCATATTGTAACAAAAACATGCTTTTTTGCTGTATAACAGATAGTTATTAACTATCTTACAGATCTCTTTCATATTTTTTAATTCGTCATATTTGTATGTATTATACTATTTCTTATATATACAAAGGTAATACAAAAGCTCATCTATTCTTTTTTTACATTTCTGAATGCTGATATAAAATTTGGCATAGGTTCAAAGTATAATTGAAATTACATAAAATATATTAACAGAATATTATTTACTTGTACATATAATAAATTGATAAAGAAAACGATTCATTTTTTTTTAATTTTCGAACATGATGTCATCCAAATAAAAAAAATAGCTTACAAATTTATAAATAATACTATTAAAATAAAAATAAGACGTATAATAACAAAACGGTGACCTTAAAACGGCACTTGATTGAATGCACGATTAACGAATTCATATTGAAAATCCTGTTTGAAATTCTTATATTTTTTTTAATCATAGAAATCTGTTATCGGTAAAGGAAGACTATATTTATTTCAACACTATTTTTCAAGGCCATATATCCTCCTTGTATGATTTTTTCTTCAAACTAAAATTGACAAAATTTTTTTGAGTTTTTTGCTCGTGGTTTTTTTCTAAATATTTGTCTTTACTAATTTACAATACATATATATTTATAAGACGAGCCTGTGCAAGTTTTTTGTTACAAAACATATCAATAAGATCTTACTTCGTTACAAGCCTTTATATAACTTGTTGAGTTTGTATGCGTATAATGTATGGTCAGGTCAAAACTTGCAACTGAATTATAAAACAGACCTCAATCGATCAAGGTGAAGTTTTGCATGCACTTTTGGTTTGTAAATTGATTTAACATTTAGTACTATTAAGAATACCGTTGATGTGTTTAAAAAAGCCAGGATTGTGTTTTATTATAGGTATCGAATGCCACCGATGTAAGGAAATTTTAAAAATTACTCAGCGTTATCTCAATATGCTAAAAGAAGGTTGTGGAATTTTCTATAGTATCAAGATCAAGGTTAAAATTCTGAACAACTCGGTTTTCAAACATGAATATAATACCTTAACACCCATCAATATAATCTTTTTAAAAATGCAACAAGAATATTAAATGCAATACGCTTTAAAAATATGGTAGAAAAATTATTACTTTAATTAATAATTTTTACTTATTTTCTTTATTTTTTATATTCCCTTATTTTGAGGAAGAGTTAATAATAAATTTTATATTTTTTAGATTATATTATTGTTTTTAAACGATTATTGACGTAAAATGTTATATAAAAAATTCGACTAAACTTTGCATATTTTTTATCCTGAAGTTCTTTACTAGAGACGACGTTAGTTATAAAAAAAATCAAATTTAATACTCATTTACAATTACAAGTAGATTTTTTGAAATATACCATTTATTTTGTGATTTATAATTCTTACTATATGTTATTTACAATTAGTTCTATATGATAAAAAATATATTAAAATAAGTCCTTTTAAAGGGATGGCCCTCAAGTTGAATAAACTGGTATCCTCTCTACAAAAGATAAAACGAGTATATATAAGCAAAAATGTTTTAATTTCTATATTTATAAATGAGTAATTAAAAAAAGTACTCTGTTAATTGAAATGATGATAAAAAATAATATTATTCCCGATGACTAAGGGATGGCAATGACGTACAGAATTTTTGAATCATCGCGTAAAGCTTTTAACTGCCTACATATATTTATGTATTGGACTATAGATAACAAAATATTTCAATTAAATTATTCAAAAGTAATATGTCATCTTAATACGTAAGTATTACGTATTGTCATCTTGGAAATTACATACAAACATTACAATGAAATGAAACATAACTCATTCTCTAAGAACATTCTCACTAATGGGTTTTAGTTGGAAATTAAAAATCATATTTTGTGGTGTTCATTTTATTTTTGAGATCCCAAAAACACAAACACAGTGCGAGATAATTAAATTGTAGAAATAACAAAAAAAAGTATATACGTAAAATTAACAAAATAACAGTAATAGTAATCTTAATTAATAATTCACATGTAAAATATTCGATACATATGATGGTTCGTAATATAATGGCACGCAGATCGTCGGTTTTCTTTTCCTTAAAACTATAAGTCAAACTGTGCGGAGTGTGGATGATATTTTTTCAATTTTTTCAATGAAAAGTGCTTGTGAACAAAACCATCTTAAACCGTTATCATAGCCAAGTCGTCGATGTACTTAAAGTTAAAATTAACTGAATTTATACACTGTAAAAATAGCGAGAAGCAGTTAATATTGTTTGAACACTTTCTTCCCTTAATGTATAAGTTGTTCGAGTCCACAAAAATCAGAAAGGAATAGTTCTTGTTTAGAAAATGTAAAGACCCTAAAAGCGTACGTGACCTAGGGGCGTCCCGGGACCTAGGGCTCCGCTAGCCACGGACCGTCACCGCCGTACAACCAATGATGTCATCGATCTCTCGTGATGAGAAAGTAACTACAACACGACTATCTCCCTGACGTGTAGGCACAAACTTCTCCTGGCAGCTAACCAGTTCTCCTGGTTTTACATCTCGGAATTTTACCTGAAATCAAATATACATATTATATTCCTAAGCAAAAACCCTAATGATATACTAGAATGTTAATAATTGCGATAAAAATAATCAAGGCGTACCTGACGTGGTCTTTGCAATCCGGGACCTTCGACCGTGAAATAGCAATCAGTTAAGTGGACGCTTAAAGGATTCTGGAAGCTTAGTGTCGCAGAACACTCTTGATCCACTGTAGGTGTTCCACGCACCTGTAATATATCAAAATTAATCTCTTTATCAATGTTTCATGATAGCAAATTAAATTAACTACTTTTTAAGTGGACTCAAGTAGAAGCAAACATGGTGAACTACAGAAAACCCATTTCTGAGTTAAAATGTTACCGAAATATTATTTATTCTATAGCGTTATTATGTAAGAGGCATCTATTTACTTAAATTTCGCACTTATTTCAATAGTAATAAGATCAAACACACCTGAATTTGCAGTTTTGGTTTGTGTAATGAGAAGTCATCCTCATCGGACCATGTTTGACGCGTCTGCTTCACGTAAGCCATAGCACACACCCTCACCATCGCATGATCGACCAGTTTGTCCATATATTCTTGAGCGGTAACGTGCAGTTTGAGAACTTCCTTCTGTCCCGCACGAACTATGAATTCGCCTTGAGCTCGGCGCAATCTTGATGAAATAGCTCCAGTATAATAGCATGAAGAAGCTGTGAGTACGCACCAAATCGTACGGTCTTCATTGGACTTGTTCTGTGGAAAAAAACAGGTTATAACTGCCAAATAAATGTACCCAAAATATTAAAAGGGACGCTAATATACCTGAATATTCATAGTACAATCGAAAGGTTGACCGTACGGTACAATTTCGATATCCATTAGATCAAAATGAACGTCTTCGTTATTTCTATCTGGCAGTTCGTAGTACTGCTGCAGACGCTGGAAGCCACGACATGAAGCGATCACAGCGAGTCGTTCAGGAGACGTGCTCTCAATGGTTTTATACTCGTGGGTTATTTCTAACAAATCACCATCACCTTCATCGTCCTCGCGGTTAGGATTCTTGGTGATGATTTTTCGTCCAACACTAAAATAAAAATATGACAGGTTAAGTACATACTTATAAATTTGCAGAACTGTATGTAAAATATGTGTTATGAAATTGTGTCTCATGATAATATGACTATATAAAAATTATCAACATTTATGAAAGTTTTAATGTCAGTAAAATTAAAAAGTTAGATAAAACTTCCCATCAATATCCTCTCAATCTCAAATTATAAAATAATTTTCCGATTCCAATTCTTAATTTTTGAAATAATCGATTCTAATCAAACCATTAAAGAAACAAATTGTTTAACTTACTAATATTAACATCGATTTTAATGTCCTTTTTTAGAAGCCTTATTAATATATCTTTATTTTTTAAATAAATTATAAATTATTTTCATATCTGTTTTTAACGCTTATTGTTAAGATAAATAATTACGTGTTTTGATTAGACGCCATTCTAACAAAGCCCCAGTCAGAGTTTTCTTCTTCTTGGAAATGACAAAGCTCAGAATTAAGTTGCGAGAAAACGAATGGTGTGTCGAACTGGAAACCAACTTCACCACGTCGAACAGCCTCCACACTCGCCGGGCCACATTGATTGACAGACTCGGCTTCTTCTTGAGGTGTCGAATCTATTATCTGCCATCCACCATAACCTACAGTTCACAAAAACCAAATACAAAAAAAGTTCACATCTCGTCTGCCCGTGATCAGGTCTGCTACAAAGAAGCCGAGAGGTCGAGAGGATGTAGTTTTTAAAAATAATAAAATACGTGTACCTAGTAATGAGAAAAAATATTAATTTCATTTAAGGTTCCTACTTGAACAAAAAAAAATGTTAAAAACCTTGTGGCAAATCAGGCCTCTGCATCCAAACGTCGTTCCACGCATGAAAGTTCCAGCAAGAATCATAACAGTCCTCATCAGGACCGTTGGGTACCTCGTTACCATCGCGATCAAAAAATTTATCCACCGTAAAAGTGCGATTCGTATCGAGAGCTGACACGTAATTTGTTACAGATCGACATGGTATTCCTAAAAGGAAAAGAAACAGGTATATTAACTAAAATACAATACAATAAATAAAGGATATAAAGTTTTTTATTCATTGATTTCTTACCCAAAGCTCTACAAATGGTTACCACTAATCCTGAAAATACCCAGCATTGGCCATATTCCACGGACTTCCCACCGCTAGTGAGATATCGTTCAAGAATAGCCACTGAACCTGTCCAAGCGTGAGGAGCTACTCCATCTTTATACACGCCGTCATAACGACCAACAATCAAGCCATCGGTTTCATTGGTAGCGTTTATCTGAAATATTTTAATATGAATGACACTATTAAAACAAGTTGATTCTTATTATTGCTATACTTACCATTGCTGATATCGCCCTCACTACACGAACAGGGTTGCCCCGTTCAGAATGTTCAAGCCCACTGCTTTCCAATAAATACATACAAGCAGGTAAAACTACATCATCAAATTGCCCAAAAATCCATTTACGACCTATCGGCTGCCGCCAAGTTCCACACCACAATTTTCCTTGGTCATTTAAGATATATTCCTTCCTTAGCGAATCATTATCCATATAAACCGCGTCCTCACGGCACCAGGGATTGAATAATACATAAATATCTTCATCGCATTTGTAATCGTTGCGGTTATCGCGCTGTCCTAAACGATTGGTTTGAACCCAACAATTCCATATACCAACCGGAGCAGAAGCTGGTACGTGCACTTGGAATGTAATAGTGTTTCCATCTTGACGTTGAATACTTATGTCCCATTTGTCCGTCTCCTGTACAATAGATGCCAAATTTTGTGAAGATCCATGTCTTGAACCATAACTACGTCCAAATGATTGATGTTGAGACGTTCCACTATAGCGTTCGATAATTGGACGAGTTGTATATGTCTCAGACGAAAGGGGGCTTAGGGGACTATTTTGAGAAGATACTGTTAAGGGTTCATTACTAACGGAACTGCGACGCACGCCATAATTAGTTGTCTCTCGGATACAACTGATTGCCCCCAAAGTGCACGTAGTACTAACTGGTCCTGTAGGAGCAGCAGTTGTAGTTGGTTCTTGGGGAAGAGAACGAGCCATTCCCATGCCCATCCCGATAACATCACGCGGATGTTGGAAAACTCCTTGTTGGGTATTCCAGTTAACTTGCAATACCACACGGGTTCCCTTAGTAACGCATGGCTTAGGTCCTGGAATTATTTTAACATTAATATTCTAAATATATGTAAAATTATCGAAATATTATATTACACAATACTAAATATAACATACCAAAACAAAACACTACACGTATAACGTCTTGTTGTTTGTCGTAGGTCCTATCAAAACGAACAGCAAAAAAGAAATTCTGTCCTCTTCTAATAACTGGATTAGGTAAAACGGTATCATTAACTAAATCATATTGATCCGTGTGGTGATCCTTTGCATTATCACGTGAATAAAATTCTGTGAGCTCAACTTTAAGCGGATGTTGCGCATAATAGCTTTGAGGAATTAACTCAATAGTATCTTGACGACGGCGCCGTTCATTTTGGTCAGCCAATTTACATATGAGGTTATGAGCATACTGTGAATTGGGACTATTTCTCGATGAATGACTAGGTCTTGTTCCAACTGTTTGCGATCGTGCTGTTGGTCCAGCCTTCGCAGAAGGACAGCGCCGACTCTCTCCTGGCCGTTGGGAGAAACTTGAAATATTATAATTAGCAGATAAACCTGGCACATAATTAGTCGGCATTCCTCCTATTGTTACTTGCTGTTCCCTCATGCACGTAAGAGTACTTATTCCAGCTGTTAACCCCGTAATCCCGCCAAGTCCCATTCCAGTCACGCTTGAGGTCATGCTGGTAGTCATTTTGTCAGCGGCTGCTGTTGATTTTTGTACCACTGACGTCTCCATTTTTAATACCAATTTTTTTTCTAACACTACCTACTTCTGTGCTCCGGAATAACTCCAGAGCAAATGTGACTTTGTGTTCAGTAAAGAGTCCTTTATATACCTAAAGAATACTTTGTAACGCATCCTAGATCATTCACCGGCGCCTGGTGTCAGTTGTCACACAGTCCCGGTTTTTAACTTACGTATTGTTTGTAATTGTTAATTGCAACAACCGTAAAATTACTAAAAAAAAAGGACTGTAGAGTAGAATGTTGTTGTTAAAAAGTTTGTAGATATATATTAAGTAACATACATATTCTTAGTTTTCTAATTATATTCACAAAAAAGTTTGGTAAAGCCATTGTTGTTCCATTTTTGCTAGTGAAAAATATAAAGTTGTAAAAATACAAATAATCAGCCAGAAAAAAAAAAGTCATATATTATATTAGATACATTTTAAATATCAAAATAAAACCTCAAATAAAAAAAAGGTTATCAAAAGCGGGGAAAGTCGGGTTCAAGGACCTAAAGTTTCAAATTAGCCACAAGTAAACTAGTTTCATTGTTGGCACTGTCTATTAACATTTACTTACTATTGTGTTGTGATATAAAAGAATGTAACTTAACTCGGAATAGGCCAACATTAAACAAAAAGTAATTCCGCAAATTACTCATTTAGAGTTTTAATTACATCCATAGTACATATTTAATTAAAATTGTTTTCAAAATGTGCAATTTGAGAAAAAAAATAATTAAAACAGTAAATAGTTTGATACAAAAGGAAACTACAGATAAATCAATTTTAAAAAGCTATGTAAGTATTTACCTCTTATTATTATATTTTTACCTTTCATTATTAATTTCAAAACCAGTGTAATTCTTAGAATAGAAAGTAATATTCATATTACAGTAGGACTACTAAAAGTACAAAGAAAAATTTATTTTAATCTCTTGAGTAGTTTACAATATCCTTTAATCCAAGATTTTTTTTACATAGTTATTATTTTTAATGTAATAAAACTTAAAAAAATATGAAAAGCTTGGTTTAAAATTTTGAATATTTCAGACTCCAAAGGGTCTAGAGCAGTCTATTGTTAATTTTGCCTCTCTTTTTCATAATCATATACCAGTTTTTCAAAAAGGATGCAAGATGTCGAATGACATTTTTCTCGAAATTATTGCTAAGAATAAAATGGTTTATTTAGTGACATTTTAAAATACCTTGTTCCTAATAACAATTAACTCATAACGAAGTATTAAAAGACTAATCAAAACTGTATAATATATAGTAAAGGAAAGTCTTTGTCATAAATTATTTGTATTTTGCTAAACTCCCTTGTATCCAAAGCCTTTCAATGAAAAATATAGTTGCTAGGCAACGCTTAATTACCAATATGTCAATTTTGAAAATTGTGTTTGAACCTTGAAGAACGATAATTGAAAAAAAAATATATAACATTATTTTAAATTAAGAATACGACATTATGGTCTTAAATATGTATTAAGTAAATCGAGTATTTTACCAACTTAAATGGCTTTGTACAATCTTTATAATCATGATGTGGTAATTCAATACAAGAGTACTCTACTATCCAAAGCGACTTTATTTACAATTGTTACTAGTCTATTAAATATAATTCTCCCACTCTTTGTTGCATATAGAAGTAGAGGTATAAAAAAAAACAATGTTTTAACGTTTTCGTTAGCGAGCATCTTTCAATAATGTTCATTTTCAGGCTTCTGGTTGAAATCTTACTATTACTATGAACGAGCTCAAATACGTCCTACATATGAATATTTACTGGTTGCCGAGACTGATGAACCCAATGTAAATATCATATGTGGTCAAGCAGCAGCCCTCAGCACAGAAATAGATGATGGGAAAAATTGTGTTGAGATTCAAGTCAGTTTTACATAAAATTTGCTTTATCTATAACATTATTTAAATATTAGAAATGTTAACTTTTATTCTTTTCAGATTGAAGAGCATAGTCATGAACATAATTGGAAAAATAATATGATAGAGTATAATTTCAAACTTAATATACCAGAGAGAAGAATAATTACTTCATTAATTTTATTACTAGGATTAGATTATCAGTTAGTGGTATGTTATATTTAATCTTCTGTACTAACAAAATGTATAGATCATGTGAAGGATTGTTCGAATTGTATATTTTTTGAAGTGAAACTTCTAATGCGACTTCTATCAAGGTTGCAATAAACATTCAACATTCCTGGGAAATCAGAGACAGAGCCGAAGTAAATGTATGGGTCAGTTGTGAACTGGAAGCAATGCTTATAAAGTTTGTGTTATATAAACAATATGAGGTCACTAATAATTTATTTCTACCCCTTACAATTTTTATGTCTACATTTTGAAGTTTCACTTCTTGGGCATGGAATTACTTTATGCACTATTTTTTTTCTACTTTACACATATATTATTTACAAGTTTTATTTTCTTAACATTTCAGGATGTTTGTCCACTTCAAATGCAAGCTTTAGCTTTTATAAGCAAAGAGTTTCCTATAGCACCAAGTGGATTTAAATTCCATGGTGACATCCACCTATACCAAACATCTCATTTACCATGTTTAACAAATGTCTTAGACATAAGATACAATAGATCTTTATTTGATTATACCAGTGATAGTAATCATAATGCGATTGATCTCATTATGGAGGAAAACTTAAAGAGAGAAGGTATTTATACATTTTAGACAAAATACCAAACATTTTTATGTTGCCATCATGATTTTTTTCTTAATTACAGTTTCAACTCAAGTCACAAGAATATATTCAAGAGTACAAAATGGCAACACAGGTACAATAGATGTCAACATTATGTTGAGAATTCCGGAAACACAAATAAAATACAAACCGAGTATTATTCAGGAATTAAAATGGGCCTGGCCACAATATCTCTCACTATACATAATCTTCTACTTGATAATAAATAAAATAAGGAGATTTATTTTCATTAATAGATTATTAATGGCATGGGAAATAGTGCCATGGAAGAGGAAAGAGAAATTTATTTAACAATTTAATATGTGAACGATAATGTTTATTTGCCGAGCTAAGTAGTTAGAATTTATGAAATAAACAATTATAAATAAAACCATCATTTAATTTACATAACTATCTTAACTATGTACATTATTCTACATTTGAATTGAAAAAAAATCTATTGAGTGAGTGTCAGTGTGGGCAGTTGGTTGCTAAAATCTGATTTATTTTGGTCCAGTGTTGCCCGATTATCTTCGATGATGAAAGTCTTGCCACTGTAGTCATTTAGTTGGACTAGTAGATATCTGCACTGATAGTTACCATATTCATTCTGAAATTATAACAAAAATTAACATAAAATACCAATACACAAAAAATATTGTCATATTTTCCATTACTCTCAGTACAAATATACCCAATTGTTTGAAAATAAAATATTAAAACAGTACTGAAAACATTTTATATAATTTATAGGAACATTCAAAAACTCAGTCTAAAAATTTTAATCTATATGTAAAATAATTAATTACATGGTCTTATACCAAAAATATAAAACATTGTTTTAGAGAGATGTGATAAATTATAAATATAATTCTATAATTATACCTGCTTCATATCTAATTCTACAACACCCTTATTTCTCATTCCCTTGATATAAAACCTCATTCTCATATGTTTCACACCATCTTTTTCATACACAGCATGACTGACATGGGTTCTTCGCCTTCTACTAGTTTCCTCTCCATAACCTATTATTGGTGGTCCCAATGCGTGTTCTACATCGGGATCCTAAAAAACAAGTTTTAAGTATAAAACAATGAATACTAAAATTCAATTTAATATATTAAGAATATCTTACATTTTTACACTTTTCGAGAGCCACTGAATATATGCTGTTTGGACTGTTACTTGAAAATAACTCTCTGAACACATAGTAAAAAATTACACCCGTAACGCCAACGCCAACTAAAATTATGCCGGTATAAGATGCAGTTTTTGTAGCCTCTTTGATTTTTTCTCCCACAGGTCGAACATCGGTAGATACATCACTTCTTTCTTGACTCTGAGTTAATCTACTCTCTTTATCAGTTGAATAATACCTATCGAAGCTGCATTTAGATGTTAACACTCCCGAAGGCAATCTATTTAAAGCTTGATTAATTCGTAACACTGGTGATAATTTCGAAAGAAAATGCATAGTTTTTATGTAATGTGGAAAATTCCTTCCGGTGTGATTGATATTTTTGATGATCTAATTAAGGTTGTGGTGCGATAATACGCTTTTGGAATAGTAAATAAAAAACTGTCAATTTTGTAGGAAGAAGGGTGACTTTGACAGAAAATAAATTGAGTAATTTTTTTAAATGAGTAGGTATTGCTATTAATTATTAACTCATAAGCTTTGACAACGTCAATAATAGAAAAAGCGGCTTCTGAGACTTACTTGAGTACTTAACTTCTTCATTTACTTTTAATAATACTACAAAATATAAATCATCTTTGTGTAGCTATCAATTACTTTATTAATTTTAAATTAGGCATATTTTGTGTCTAATTTCTTAAACTGCTTCAAAATACTTGAAGATTACAAATATGATATTCAAATATTACTTGTATATATATTTTAATTATTTAATAATATAGTTTTACCAAAATATTTTTTTTGATAGTGATTTTTTAACATAAACTGTCGTTCAGATGTCACGAATGTCGTCTATCAGTCAATCTAAATTGTATTTCATTGGTATTACTCGCCTCTTGTCAGCTGGAGTTTGCTGAAAAATAATAATATAATCGATTTAAAGAAAAATGAGATAGATTTTTAAAAATATGTGATATCTTTGTTACATTTGTATCAAAATGTTTTAGTGAATATTTAATCTTAAATGTGACTAACAATATACAGATAACTACGGAAATATAAGAGAATCTTAAATTTGATACAATGGATTGGATTATATCTGATGAGTTGGGTCTTACTGTGGGCCATTTAGTTGGCTGGGGGGCTGCCTCTGCTATGATAGTAGGTGGTGTAGCCCCATACATACCTCAATACAGACAAATTAAAAAGACACAAGACGCTGATGGGTTCTCGCTCTACGTTTGTTTAACGCTGTTAGTGGCAAATACATTACGTATTTTGTTTTGGTAAGTTTCTTTTATCAATCCTGCTTAGTTAACAATAAGCAGTCTTTGTTATCAACCTCAAACATAATTGTTTGTAATGACAGCTGCTTTAACCACAATGATTTATTGTTTATTGCCTTAAATTATATATTATTATAAATCGCAGTAGCGATTTAACTATAGTTTTTCTGAAAACTAAACTCTTATTATTTTTGTTACATTTTAAGACACTTGTTTCCAAAAAAAAATTTTCAAAGACATTGAAAACATATGCTACAAAATAATAGAATAACCATATTTACTATAACATTATATTTACGAAAACCTACACGAGGCATAACTTTATATTTTTAGGTTTGGCAAACGCTATGAGTTACCATTGTTAATACAAAGTATAGTAATGAATGCAACAATGTTTGCGATGATCCATCTGTGTGTTACAATTAGAAAGAAGAATCAAATTATAAGAGCCAGGGAGAGAATATTTACAGGTTTGTATATCACACGAAAGAAAAATAACTTAGCCTTAGACTTTATTAGCTTATGGGCTTATTTCCTAAGTAGATTAGTTACATTTATAAACTTCTTTCAAACCAAAAAATAGATTCTTTAACTAACTAAATTTCTGTACAAACTTGGTACTGACTTAGTTATCACTATACATGCGATGCACATTGTTATTTTCTGTTGTGTTTTATTTGGTGGTTGGTGTTTTTGGTGATTAGGTGCAATATTCATGTTATATATACTATTATGTTGTGTGAACGGATCAGCTCAGCCAGATGAAACGGCTAACTGGCTAGGACAGCAGAGCGGCTTCGTTGGTGGTGAGAAACCTCATCGTTTCTATGGTAAGTTGTGATAATAACATCTCAATAGCGTTTGCCGGTTTTGTTTTTTGTTCTTCATTCAGCTGGTCATTCTTTTTTTTTTGTTTCAGTTATAAAACCTCATGCATCTTTCATTGGGTTTATATTTTTTTGGTTCACACCGTGTTGTCATTTCATTGCAAGCTTGGTACATATTTTTATTTCAGTTTTGTCTGTCATCGAGATTTTTTGATTTTTTTTTTCTTTTGAACTGAATAAAATTCCCCCGTGACGTATAATCGATGTGGATTTTATTTCCGTGCATGTAAATTTGGTTGTTGAACTTATTATTATCTAAATTCATGATAATTATCATCTCGGAGCATGAATGGGTCACTTGAATTTGTGTTTGAGATATCATATCTTTGTATACTACTAAATATTATATATTACGCTGTTTGTGTGTTGATATAATATTATTTAAATATATATATTTGAAACAGCCATGAATGTTTTAATTTTTAGATATGGACAAGAAATATTTCTGGGCGTGGACGGATTTCCAAAGCTATGTAGACTGTATGCTAGTCTTCTCAGTGCTAGGAGCTGCTATCACATATTTATTGATAGAGTTCTCTCCCTTCGTCGAGCTGATTGGTTTCCTCGCTGTGTTCACCGAAGCCATGCTCGGAGCTCCACAGATAGCTAAGAATCTCCAGAACAAAAGCACCGAAGGAATGAGGTTCGTTCAATGTATATAAAAAACTACACGTGTCTATTAATATGAAATAAACTTTCAATTTCGTTGTATTAAAGTAATTACATTGTAAAGTTTACACTCTACACAAGTGTCAAGGTAGTGACGTCATAATTTTATAATTATCAATACAGCTGATTCATCGATAAAATATAAATTAATGTGACATTTTCTAGCGTGTGTATGGTGATCATGTGGACGTTTGGCGATCTCTTCAAGACTGCGTACTTCGTTATACGGGAAGCGCCAACACAGTTCTGGGTTTGCGGCAGTCTTCAAGTCCTATTGGACATTGTTATACTACTACAGGTTGGTAGTTTTGCATAAATACGGTTAAAATTATCTTTAAATTGCTATCAGATTCGTTCCTCAATGTAATATATACTTAGGTTCCGTATATCTTCGTAGAATAAATAGTTGCAGCTCATTAACTTTGTCTGTTGTAGTGAACTTGAAATTTAAATAATTATACTGTACATTAACTTATCGTAAACGGGTTTAGATGCAAATGACAATTTTGCTTCTCGTAATATACGTCGACTAACTAAATTATTTCTAATTAGTTTATTCATAAAAAAAACTACGTATAAAGATAAATTCAAGGTCAAATTCTGGGGAATCAAATAAAAGCACCCTAAAAATTTCTATATACTTAATTTTTATAATGAGATCTAAGATTTTCGCGAGTATTCATTTATATGAAACTAATATTTTCGGATTTAGTAAAGATGTTACTAAATCCGAAAATATTAGTTTAAATTAACCGAAACGTCGGAAGTATGTACCTACTTTATAATCAAAAATAAAAATCGCGTAGTAAATCCGACAATATTAGTTTCATTTAAATGTTATTTTTAGTTTAATATTACTTATTACTCAAAAAGTTTGATAAAAATCATGTTTCAAATAATAATAATATTTCTTTTATCGATACGCGTTGACTAACAACGCCAGTGTTTTATAATTTTACGACATTTATCAGTTCGCAAATATTTTGTTACTAGCGATTAGTTTAATGTATCGTTTTTCGTTTAAGATCATTTTTATTGGTGATTTGTCATTTCTATACAGATACATCTAGTAAAAATAGTTATTGAAATATTAATTTTGCATATTAATAGCAGAAATTAATGACGTAGTAAATATATTTATTTTTAAGGTACAAGTTACCAAGACTTTTTATTTCTACTTCAGGTTAATAATAGTAAGATATTTAAAATTCAAATCACTATAATTAATAGTCACCGAACGTTTGTTTTATCAGTAAATATAATGTCATTAGTGTTTTTTGAAACATCGATTAATTAATTTTAAGATAAATATGATATAATGTTTACGATAGTAGCTAGAAACCAACAATACCAAAATTTGAATTGTTCCTTTAAATTATTTAAGTAGCCGTAGTAAATGATTGAAAAGAAAAAGTATCATGTGAAATTATTTATTTCCTTAGGTAATTCCAATGACTAACAGTTTCCATTTATCGTTTGTTGATACGATAAAGTTAATAGATAAAAATAAACATTTTCTTTATAAGGATTTCATAGATAATTTATCAATTTTAGGTGTGGATGTACCGGCACAATACAGCCGCGGCCAGACGCATCCGTCGCGGCGACTAGCAGTGGATAGAAACGGACTTATAGCGACGCTTCCCTCTTAAATACAATCTATGCAATGACGCATTATGACAGTTGACTTGACATTTGACATGTGTACATCTAAGTGAATAACCACAGACTATACAGAATCCACATATCAAATTATGAGCGACACGCACACGTTCTGCCATTATGATTTTATTCGTCGTGCATTCTTACCAGCCAGATGTATGGAGTTATATTTTTATTTTTCCAAATCTCGTTGTAAAATTTATGTGGTTGTGTGTAAAAATTACTGTGACTCGATTTTTTAACGAGGCTGGTATACGTTGAGTGTTATACTAAAAGTAACGGTTAAAATTATGTGCGAAACACTCGAAAAACGTTCTGTCAATATAAAAAGAGATTTTACACGGATTCTGGTCTGCAGGTGCATTATCTATGATAAGTGCTATTTTTTTTATCTATCAAGTATTGAAAAATGTTTGCATAGTTGCCTGTAAAGACGACTGTGAAATCTTTTAAATGAGGCTATATTACTGACGTGTAATAAATAATAATATATATTGTCTATGACCGCCATTATTGGGGCTGGTTTCTACTAGTAAAATACCAATTACAGAATGGAGGGATCAAATTATGATGAAGTACATATACGCTAAATACTAAAACATCGTTTTGCAATTCAAGGAATTTTATGTAGATTTTTATTTAACTAAAGTTTATATTATATCTAAAGGTGCTGGGAAGGGTTCCCCTAAAATTGTAGTCGTAGTTATTGATGCACTTTGAGGTAATTTGGGTGTAATATTCAGCACTCTATCAGAATAATGACTGAGTTAGGGATTTGGAAATATAGACTAAATGTCGAAAACTATTAAACTAGACCACTTGGTCACGTGGACAATTCCTTCACGTATTTGATACATGAGTGAGCCAAATTTAGACTTTTTAAAAGTTTTAATATGTACCTATCGTACATTTTTTTAGATAGTCCTAAAATTCATAACAGTACCTATAGAATTGTATATCAAATGCACCCATAGATACATTTTAAATCGCACTGTTGTATTAGTGATAAGGAAATGTAGCTGTGAAAGGCATTCGTCACTTTGTATTATGTACCAGAAAAAAGATTTATATAGAACATATTTTATATATAAACCGTCTCTATGTTATTTGGTTTATAATTTATAACTAGCCAAAGCAAAGCTAGGCAGATAAATGATAGCAATGTATCAGTCACTCGATTGTTATGTGGTATGCCTAAAAAAATATGTATGTACTTCCAATAAAACTTTTGTAATAAAATAGATGAAATAAGTGCCATCTAGCGGTAAGAAGAGTAAATAAGGTATAAAGTTAAGAATAACGTATTGGTTACAACACCAGCTTGAAATGTTTTAATGTTTTTACTCATTCAAAAACTCTTTCTTTTCATTCCTATATTATTCCTAAATGTTTTAATAATGAACTAAGAAATATAAAAATGCCATAACATGAAAAATAATAATACAATGAAACTCTCATGAAAAAATAGTTATGAATGAACATATTAAAAATGTAACAGGCAAGAAAATCTAATTTGTCATTTTTATGGAGAATTTTATGTATAACATTTCATTTAGACATGTGAAGGTTAATTTTCTGTTATTTTTTTCATTGCCATAATCATTTCCCTACAATAAGTGTAGTATAATTGTTCCAGAACAATCAACAATCTTTTTTTTTTCTCATGTTAAACTTAGTTTTTCCATCTATATTAATTTTACCTTCAATTTAAGCATAATTTATTACAGAAGTTATTTAAACAATCCATATGTTATGTTCAGTATAATTTTTTTCTGGTACACGTACTAAAAGTGTATAATAATTGTGATATAAGAATGTTTAAAGTACAATAAAGCATGTTTTTTTTTCTTATTTTAGGTAAATACTCTGACTAGTGTTAAGAGACAAAGACATATGTATTTCGAAGGCATTTAAATGTATATTTTGCTCTTCCTCGATATTATTTAAAAATATGCTTTATATAAGCAAATTTTTTTGTATATTTTCTATATTACTTAGTCAATAATAAAAGTGTTTGTTTGTGTATAAAGATATAGTATTTTTAAGGGAAAAATATATGAAGTAAATTGATAAAAATTCGAACAAAAATATTTTTCTGTCTCTTAAAATATTTTTATGTTGATGGAATTAATTAGAATATTATAAAAATCATTTCAATGACACCCTGAAGACTCCGGAATGACTGAATAATTTGAAATAAATTATTTATATATAAAACATATGTTATATGTATGTGCTATTATATATAGCTCCTATATTTCATTTAAATTACTTTTTGTGGATATTATTTACATTAAATTAAATGTCACTGCATATTAATTTTATTCTATATTAGTATAATAATATATATTTTACTCATCTCAAAGTATTATTTGCAATAGATATGTTCAAATTAATTTTTAAATGTATTATATATAGTATATTGTAATTTTAAATTTGTTTATAAGTGTGCATTCATAAGTGCTAAACGACAGACAAATAAATCTTAATATCAATGGTTGTAATGAATCTTTAGTATTTTAGAAAGAATTGTGTTAAATAATTATAATATTTTTTATTGTATATATCTTTTTGTTATAATATTAAATTAATCTATTTGTTTTTTAATTTTGCATAGACTTTTAAGTACAAAATATGTGTTCTATGTTATATATGTAAGAGATACATCTGCTGCATGGGTACATTAATAATAATATTACGAATAGTCAACAACTGGTTGACAAATATTCCACTAAAACCTTTTTAAACCCTAAACTAGGTCTATATAGTGTACGGACTTTTATTATCTGTGTTTTTGTTTCGTCTTCCCTTTTATAAAATTCATCGAATAATTTGGTAATAGAGCTGAAATCTAGAAGGAAAAAGTGATAAAACATATCATATTTGAATTATTTGATACTATATTTTATTTATATAACCATTAAATATTTTTTATCCCTAGTGAATTTCTTTTGTATAACAATTTTATAATTATATAATGACAGCTTATTACCGGCTTGTCTGGATTTTTGACATGTCAATTAAACACTACGTGCGTTATGAATGTTGAATTGATAACAATACTTGTACGAAATAAAGTTGTTTTGTTTTAACCATTGTTTTATTTCCTGAGTCAGACGTGATGTAATTGAACAAACATAACGTCAATGAGAACATTCGATAAACATCTGTATATCTGAAACGGGTGATGTTGATTAGGGAAATGGTTTCATCGGAAAAATAAGAGCGGGATAGCTAGGGTTGGGACTAAGGGTGGATCGATGTCCGGAGGCTGAGTGGCGCCCTCTCAGAGGCCCGGACGTCAGTGTTCGAACAACAACGACCAAACTCACTCGTGTCCAACCCTTAACAATACGGTATGTATTATAATATACAAATTGCAATCTTGTTAAAACTTTGTTTATAACTTTCTTTTTGCTTTCGTTTTTCGTAGCGCATTTTTTTATGAATTCAATACTTGATGTACCTGTACTGATTTAATTACTTAGCGGTGTTTATCTGTATCGTCTCAGTTATTTAAAAACTACTTTTAAATGACGCTGTCTTATTAGTGTTTTTTTGACGTTCTACATCAATGCATGAAATAATAGCGTATCATTTGTCAAACCTTTAATTTTCATATCATTGAGTGACATACTATTCGCAAATAATTTCTCATACGGCTACTGTTATATTTGCCCAAAAGAACTGAAAGTTCATATACCAATTATGAATTAGGTATCATTCAAATGTTTTTAGCGTATTCCATATAAATCATAGAGTAAACTTTATTATTATTTGTTTAAATTCAAAAAGTTCTACACAATAATAATTTCGTCTAAACAGAGATTTAAAATGTACCTAGAACTAACAAGAAAATCTTTTAAAATAAAAAATACTTATGAATGAAATAATTCCATAAAGTATATAGGATAAATGTTTCAATAGATGTTTAATATAAATTACATTTATTCATACTTCTGACAAGAAAACTTTATTGCAAATATCGTAATAGCCAGTCTCCTATGTGCCAAGCTAGTATATAGGAAGAGCTGATCGACACCAGCATAGAATGCGGTTCTGAAGGCAAACACGTTTTGTTAGACCTTTATGAATGGATATAAATAAACATAACTCTGAGACAATAAAATCTATTATTTTTGATTATGTCTCGAAAATAAATTTATACTTTCTCTGAAAAATCGTAACGCTGCTTTTTTTTATATCGTAGAAATTGTTAACGTCCCAATAAACATTATTAAGGGACGTTATCAGAAAAAATGTCTAATGGGTACGTAATAAAAGTACAAATTTATCTTTATGTAAAGGTCAGTGAACAAAGATGGGTAAGCATTAGGAATAAACTCATTAGGCGGGTTTTGTAGGGTCTGTTGCTCGGAAATTAAAAATACAGAAGGTCTATTTACCATAAAGGTGGGCTCCTGTTGTATAAAACAAGTATAATGACCAAGGAGTATAAGTACATACTCTTTTCGTATGTACCTACTATAATTTTATGACGTCATACCACATGACATGTCCAATATTTGACAAGTGACGCAGGAATATTTTGGCTATTTAGACATGAATAACATAAAAAATATGTATATTGTATTAAACAATGTTATAAGGCACTAGGTAGTATTTTCAGTAGTATATATTAAAGCGTATGCTGCTTCAACAAAGTTTGGGGCAAGTAAAATATGATACACCTACTCACTGGAAACTTAACCTACTCAAGATTTTGTTTACAACAAACACAATTAACTGATGATCGTAGATTATGTTGTTATCATTTACCTCAGTAACATTTTATTAAACAAACTAACGTTTTTATATTTCTAAAACAATACAAAACGTAGATAAACAAAAGTACATAAAAGTCAAATAACACAGATTAAAAAATATATATTAATGAATTTTCTATAAAAGATTGTCATTCTTATAACAATATATATCAAAGATATAAA